AAAAAAAAAAAAAAAAAGAATTAGTGAAGAAGGACAAGTGAGATGGCTTAGAAATTAACTGTGAACTGGCCCCTAGAATGTGAGCTTAGGAACGCTTGCCCTGGTCCTCATCTGCCATCTGGAGGTCATAAGAGTGGGAGAGCTGCCCCTGTCCCTCACCAGCTGCAGCACTCGGGAGAGTATCCCTGCATCATCTCACCTGGGCAACATAGTAGAGCTGTGGGTGTGGGAGAGGCTACCCTGAGGACCTAAAAGAAGAATGCATTCCATCTCTTGCAGAAATAAGCAAGGGGTGAGCTAACTGGGTCAGTGCCAGAGTGCCTACCTTGCTTGTGAGGAATGGGGAGAGCTGGAGGGCTGACCAACCCTGCAACTACCCAGGCCCAGCTTATGAATTGGCCCACCCCAACATCCACCCCATCTATGATCTGCTAGAGCACGTGAAGGGGCCCATCCTATAGACCTAAAGCTGCAGGGTCTTCACAACACAGGGTGACAAAAAGATAAAAGAGAAGTCCCACTGAGTGCCCAGTATTGATAGTGTAGCAAAAACCAGAGGCCTTGAACAAGGCCAAAGACTCTTTGCAATTATCATTTGCAAGTAAAGATATATGGGAAAAAATAAACTATGTGACTCACTGTGTCACACTACAGCTTCTATGACAGATTTTTCTTTTTTCTTTTTTTTTCTCTTAAATTTTATTTTATTTTATTTTGGCGGGGTGGGGGAGAGGTTGCAAGGACAGAGGGAACAGGAAGCGACAGGGAGATGAATAGGATTGAGACACATGATGAGAAAGACACAATGAATGAAAAGAAAGTTATAAATAAATAAAAATAATAAGTCTTTTTTTCCTTAGACCCCAAATTAAAATAACATTCAATGGATTACATTTTCTGATTAGAGGCAGAAGTGATGAGAACACACACACAAAAGAAAAGAATAATGTAGACAAGTATGTGAGTTACCTAGCTCCTAATCCACTTAAACTAAAATTCCTATCCACACACAAAACTTCTTAGCATGATTACTGCATTTCCAGGTTTTCAAGAGTAGAACTTTGTCAGTTACAGCTGTAGTGACTTTGAATAATTAGTAAAAACAAATGAATGTAATCATGTAGAGATAAATACTTCTTGGAATATTTGTTTAAAGTCTTTTATTTCTGCCTTTTGTGCAAGTATTGGAGGAAATATGGACTGTCCTATCAAAGCTTACTCAGGAAGAAATAGAAAACACAAGAGCCCTCTAAAGTAATAAAATTGTTTTCCAAATTCTTTCATTCAAAGAAAATTCCAGCTGTTGATGTTTCATTATAATTCTGTGCAAAAGAATTTAAGAACAAAATAACCAATCTTACATAACTTCTTTCATACTTATATAGAATTCACTCATTATCATTCTGGTAGGAAAAGTGTAGTTATTGAATAAAACAATAGACTAATGCCTCCTTATCACAAACAATACTATATTTGATTATGAAGGGAAATAGACTCAAATAATGTTCAAAAAACTATTGGATTATGACCAAATAGGATTAATTCCACATTTGAAAAAATTGATGTAGCATTCTTAAATAAATTTATAAAATGTATCAGGTTTAAAACTGAAAACTTAAAACTGGAAAAAGCACATCATCATTTCTACAGCTATGGATAAGCCACTGAAACATTCAGCATCTAATGAAACATCTTAGCAAACTAGGACTATTAGTGAACATATGGAAATTTCTCCAGCAAAATCATATTTAATTTGTTAAAATGAAGCACTTTTCTTTAAGTTCAGATTTCAAATCTACTTAATTTCAATAAAGCCTGAATTATGTATTCTATCAAATCAAGTAGGAGCAAATTAATATGGTATATATGATCACCTTGTAGACACCTATCATTGATAAGGAGACAGATTATAGGTCAACACATAAATAATATCTAGAAAATAGATAGATAGACAGACATATAGATAATAGGTAGGTAGATAGATGATAGAGAATATCTACATCAGAAAGAAACTCACATTGTAGATGAGAAGAAATGTTAATATTCTTTGTCTTGTAGAGAATATTTTTTGTCTTAAGATTGTTTTCTCTCTATATATAACTCGTTTGTTCCTAAGAATAGGAGCCATATTGTCTTAGGGTCCTACCTACTCTACTATAATCAGTTTTACTTAATTATTTTAATACACAATGATGCTCGTTCCCAATCAATTTACATTTTGAAATAATGGCCATTGGGAATTAGGAAAATCTGTTATTCAGGGATTCCAATTAACATATACTTCAAATCCAGAAACATCTCAAGTATGTACCAACAAGGTAAATGTACATACAATTCTGTTGTATACAAGCTGCTACTTAGCAATAGAGAACAGTGATTAAAGAATTCATATTTTTTCAAAAATCATATATGAGATTTAAAATACTATGAATAAGTGAAGGAAGCAGAAAAATGATGAATTTGCTTTGGATGATTCCACTTCTAAAATGTTCTAGAAAACACCAACCAATCTACAGTGACAGAAAGACCAATCTGTTCCAGTGTATATAGTGACTATGGGAGTGTGATGAAGAGGATCTACAGAGGAGATCACAAAAAAAAAGCCTTAGGAAATTGACTAGTTAAGACATTTATTATCTTGATTGCTTTGATGGTTTCATAGGGTTATATATTTAGATGCAAATATACATCAATTTTCATCACTTTATATTATTTAAGCACAGAGATATTTTAGCATATAAATTGTACTCCAATATAAAACTTCGGGAATCTAAATGTTTTCACAAATCTCCATCTTCTCAATAAGAGTTCAAAATGCACTCAGTAAAATGCTATGGTTTAATAAACATTATTTTGGTTTATAGAAGGGAAAATATCTTTGATTTCCAATGAGATGGCCAAATGTAGGAGATCAAATTGTCATAATTAGTTTGGAGAAATGTGGTTGCACAAGTAAATAAAATTCTTGTAAATGTTTCTTCTAGCTTTCAACTCATGATATAGAAACATGATTGCCCATGTGACAGACTTTCCAAGCTGTTTTATCAACCACATTTATGGTACATACCTGTGATCCCAGCATTCCAGAGGCTGAGGCAAGAGGGACAGCATGTGTTCAAGTCCAGTTTGGCTACTAATAAGTTGATTGTCTCAAAAAAGGAAAGTAGACAAACAAAATCCCATAAACATCACCCCCTCACACAAAAAGTTGGCTTGGTCAAGTTGATAAAAAAGTGCTTTGACTTTAGAAAAAAACACTCTGATTTCTAGGGGATAATAGTGCTTATGTGAGCAATTTGTTAACTGCTAGAAAGAGCATGTGATACAGAAAGAGCATTTCTAATCATGAGTACAGTTTCATATACTTACCAATGTTTCTATCCTCATATGACTATATTAGATGTTTTTTGCTGCTATAACAAATAATGAAACTTAGTGAAGTTTTCAACATTTTGAAGTCCTTACATCACAGTTCTGTAAGTGTTCATACATACTGATGTAGCTTGATGGAGCTACAGCTCCACTCTGGGTCTCTCAAAAGACAGACACCAGTTTATCTTTGAACCTACCAGCATATCTTCTTTTCCTGGTAGTGATTGAATTCATTTGCATGAAGCAACCTTTTAGAAGATTAATAACTTCATGCTTCTTCTGTCCTTGTTCACTGTCTGCTCGGGATCTATCTCGACTCAGATTCCCTTCATCACCAAAGCCAGAATCAGTAGGCTAAACTGTTCTCTGCTCATGCATCACTGTAATCCATGCTCTGTCTCAACTCTTGGACTATTCTTTGTGCTATATCTCTTTGACACTAGCAAGATAAAAATCCTCTGATTTTAAGAGGTGTTCTGATGAGATTGGACTTACAGGAAAAAAATTCTTGTATTTGTTAAGGTACATAGAACATGTCTAGTGGTCTCAAGTGTCAGGCATCTTTATACTTTTATGAGATGGATTGCGTATTGGGAATGGTGGGCATTAGTAGCCTCCCCAAAATCTGTCTATTTCCATTTTATTCACCAAGAAACTGTTATTGCTCAATAACCTTTTGAAAAACAGAAGTACAGGAATCAGTGTAACAATTTTTGTATATGAGACATGAAGGCATACAACTGCCTTTTCCCTAATTATATCAGAATAGCTGTTGTCACTTTCTCTATACTTCTTGTATAACTGTTCTAATATACATTTATCAGTCACTAAAGGTTTTCCCTCTTCATATGGTAAATAAATCAATACTAAAGTTCTAATTCATTTACAAACTGAATGTAATGCCTTTCTCGGATTAGTTCCCCCAATAAACACTATTTTCTTTTCTTTATTTGTGCTCATTATTTTTTTAATTCTTAAATTATTTCTCTATTTTTTAAAAATCGTATGTGTATAAGCATTCTACCTGCATGTGTGTATATGAATCACATGCTTGCCTTTTGCCCAGAGAGGTCAGAAGAGAGCATAGGATCCCCTGAACTGGAGTTATGGATGGCTGTGATCATGGGTGGATATGGGGAATAGAACCTGAGTCCTCTGCGAGAGCAAGTGCTGTCAACCTCTGAGCCCCCTCTTCAGCCCCATGTTTTTAAATGTTCATTTGTATTCTTAATTATGTGCATGTCGTGTGTGGATGGGGCATGCGCACATGAGTACAGCTGCCCATGAAGCTAGAAAAAGATGATAGCATGATGAGACAGGCATGGTTGCTGGAAACCAGACTCAAATCTTCGACCAGAGCAGCAGATACCCAGCTGCCAAGTCATTTCCCAGTCTCTCTACCATATCTGATGTTCTTCCTGCCTCTGTTTCAAAAATCATTGTTGAAACCCCACAGAAACCTTTTTTTTTTCAGGTGTCCATTATGGAATAATTATAGTTCCCATTAACTAATCTCTTTCCTGAAGTAGTCCCTCATTTCTAATTTCATCACATATTAAGTGAACACATTCCTGCTACATTTCTTTGTGTGTTACTGTTGCTATGACAACAGTGAATGTGGTAATTCTTCAGGATAAAATAGAAAGCTGCACCACACTCTCCTGAACCATCTCAGTATTGTCCTGAATAGTAAGTATCTGTTTAAAAGGGCGTGGGCTGATATCAGCTTTTTTGTTCTGTAGATACAGAGGTCAGGCATGCACTGTGAGAGGATAAGATGATTTTTACATTAGACATGGAATGTGTCATTATCTGATTTGCACTGAAATATCAAAAGGAAAGGAAAACGGTAGCTTCAAGTTCTATCAGTGCCCAATGATTTCAATACAAAAGCAAAACACTCACACACAGTCACAGATGCACACACACACACACACACACCTGCGCGCACACACAAACAGCCACACAGAGTCACAATTCTTCACCTGGAACTACAAAGCTCTGTCTTTGAAAGCAAGGAACTTCCGCAATTCACATGACAGTAATAGCTAATCCCCAAACACTTAAGAAACAAAACAATATTACAAATTGATATTCAGTCTCTATTTATGCCATGCTGGTATTGACACAAAGTTCCTCAGGAATTTTGACACAGTTTTTCAGATGCTTTCTCCGAATCTGGACAAACTGTACCATAACTGCAGGAGGTCTTTCTAACATCTGAAATGGAGAGAAAGGATCTAAACTCCCAAGCACATTTATATGAGAAGGTAAGGTTGGAGACAGTTGAATCTCACATCTGTAAAGCAAGGATTTTAGCTTTAAATAATGAGTGAATGATTAAGGTAAATTACAGATTTGAAATGTTTTTCAAGATTCACAAAACTGGAATTTTAAAATTGAAAGTATATATAAGGTATTTGGTATCTTTTTAATAAGAAGTCCATTACTAGAAGAAATAGGGGACTCAATCTATAAGAACAGATGTCCACAACCCAAGTTTCCTGGCCATTCAAGTGTCATAGAAGAAGGTTTTGTTTCCTGATCTCACTGGTGGAGCTGACCTTCTGAATTTACTGTTAACATAGTGTGGAAAAAATGACAAAGGAAAACGATAAAAAAAATCCATTATTAAATATTGTTTAAATTCTTCTATTATCAACTATGTAAATATATTTGTACAACTATTCCTGTAAGATCCTATTATTCTATTGGACTATATAAGACTTAGCATGATTAATTTCATTAAAAACGTAATTTATTAGTAAAATAGCAAATAACTGGCTCTGAATTCTTATCAAAATGCAATTCGATTGTGCAACCATGATTGGTCTCAGTCTTTATTTTACAATTAGTGTTTTTAACTATTTTGGAACTCTTTGAATTTTATTTTAATACAACGGACTTGATTTAAACTTTCTCCTCACATTTGGCATTTCTGGAGAATGGTTTTCTTATCTGCTATGGTTTTTTTATCAGCTATTTATTACAGTTTGAACATGGCAAATTGTTCAAGCTGTAACAAATATGATACTGTCTTCATAAATTCTGTTCCTATAGGATGTGCTCCTACTTGCAATATCTCATATATAGGTGCTCTAATAGAAAACATCACTTGAGACATAGTGTTATACATATGATTTTATCAAAAACGTGCAACAGCATGTTTACCTTTCAGATTATCAGTGTTCTTAGTAGAGGGAAAGAGGATCCTATTTAACAAATGGGTAATGTGAGGGCTAGACCATTTCTGTCATTTCTCTCAGCACAAACAAATAATTTCCGATAATTGAATATTATCTGTAACTATTTGTCACTTCAAGAGAGAAAGGAGCCTTCCATCTGAGCAAACCCGAGTTCAATCCTTGAGACTCACATGGTGGAGAGTACTGACTATGCAAACTGACCTCTGATCATAACAAGCACCCCCTCCAACACACACACACACACACACACACACACACACACACACACACACACACACAAATAAATAAATAAATAAATAATTCCATTTAAATTTATGTAATTGGAAAGTAGAATCATCTTCACCTAGTAAAAAGGGACTTTTCTCATAATTATAAATGTGGAATGTCCTTTCGTTTGGTCAGGATGGCCCATATTCTTTATGTGTATGAGTGCATGTGATTTTGTGTATATATCTGCATGCACTAGTGTTGTGTGTGTCTGAGTTTGCATATATCTAAGGCAGGGATCAACTCAGTTTGTCTTCCTCAGTTGCTTTCCTGTTTGTTGTATGAGACAGGATCTTTTACTTTATTTGGAACTGTGATCATGATAGGTTGCCTGGCCAGTGCATCCCATGGAGCTGCTATCTGCTGCTCCTGTGCTGAGATCCAAACTTGTACAGTCACATTTTCCTTTTTCTTGTGGATCCTGGGGATCAAACTCAGGTCCTTATCTTGCATGCCAAGGCCTTTACTAAAGGAGCAACCTCTCCAGTCCAATTTATTAATTTTTGAATAATAATGAAAAAATTTGACTTTTAGTGGCTTATTTTCCTTTTACCATGTGAATAATTTTATAGAGGAAGGCATATATATGTTAAGCAGTAATTCTATTCTCTGTTGTTTATCCATGAGAAATGAAGATGTGTGATCACAAAGGCACTTGCATGTGCATATACACAGGGTCTTTGGTTTGAATAAATGCTCATACTGGAAAAACATCTATGAAGCCTGAGCAAGTGTATGGATGAGTTGAGCAGCAAACCATGGTGTACCCATATAAAAGAAAATTGCTCAAGAATTTCAGAGACGTATAAATGTCCAGCAGCAACATGGACAACTACCAACACCATTATCCTGATCAAAAGGAGACACAATCAAAAGAGTACTTACTGTATAATTTAAATTTTTGAAACTGTGAAACATGTAAAATTAATCTAAAGTAAAGTTCAACAAGTCAGGCATTATATGGAACTGGGACTTTTTCACTGGAAAGATAAATAGTCCATAAGGGACAGGGTAGAGTTTGCTGAAAGAAGAATGTTTCATATCTTGATTGTCATGTAGATATGTAATTGTGCACATTTGTAAAACTTCACAATTTTATACTTAAATGAAGCCATTGTGTTACAGGTATGACACCTTTCCATTTATTTTCTTTAAAAACTACAGTACCATTCTGTTTTTATGACTATAGCTCAGTAATATGTGTTGATGTCTGAGATGATAATTTTTACAGCATTATTCTTTATGATCAAGACTGTTGAATCTATGTAGTGGGTAGCTGTTCCAGTTTTGACCTGGAAGTACTATCCCCATTGAGGCTTCGGTAACTGTCATGCCTACAAGGTGGGCCGAGACAGGAGCCCTAAAGACCTGAGATCCGGATGTGCCAGCTCTCTTGTTTCCTGGATCCTGGAGCTGGAATGGCAGGAGGTTGTGAGCCACTTGACATGGGAACTGAACCCCGGTCCTCTGGAAGAGTTGCTCAATATTTACAAATTTTCAGCTGGTTATATTGGTATTTTGAATTCTCGGGAATATCTTTCATTTATTACTTTTCAGGTAATCCCCAAAACCTATTGACTGCTTCCATGCCTTTCATGCTTAAGCAACCACAGTAAGTGGAACTGTAGTTACCCTCATTTTATGAGTAAAGAATAGAATTTGAGGTTTAGATAAATCTAAACACTCAAAGCCAACACCTGATAATATAAAAAATATTATCAAAATAAAGTATCATCCAATCTTGGTGGTAGTGGCACATGCCTTTAATCCCAGCACTCAGGAGACAGATCCAGGTGGTACTCTATGAGTTTGAGGCCAGACTGGTCTACAGAGCAAGATCCAGGACAGGCACCAAAACTACATGGAGAAACCCTGTCTCAAAACAAACAAACAAACAAACAAAAAAGTATCATCCAATATGTCAGCTCATATCTTCCTCTTGCATCTGAGAAAATTGTACCTAAACAGGTGTACTCAAAAGTGAACAGTACTCTTACATTCCTTAGTATCCACTCTTTACCTAAATCCAGCTTTCTCAATAAAGAATCAGCACCATTCAAAATAAAGTTTTTTTTTAAATGATATTATAATTACAAAGTACCAAACTGCTGCAAATGATATGCTTCATTGATTCATTTAATCTCACACCACACATGGGGGCACTATTATTTCTATTGCTTTATCCATGAATAGACTGTGAAGAAATATTATCATGTTATTGGGTATGGAGCTAGACAGTGGGAGTTCAGACTTTTTGACCATGTAATTTGTGATAAAGAAGATTAATAATTCCAATATAATTCCATGCACTTATAAATCTGAACATTTATTATCTTACTCTTTTCTAGAAAAGAATTTAATTATAATAGATGTCATGGCATTTCTACTCTAGTATGCATATGCTATTATATTTATTGCCATTGAAATAAGTTACAGATATTTGAAATTACCATTTAAAAATTTTTAAATTATTTCTTTTATTTTTTGACATTATATCATTTCTTCTATTCAGTTCTTTTTTTTCCAAATTCTCCCAAATCTCCCTGCTTTTTCTCTTTCAAATTCATGTCTTATTTATACAGAATTCTAACTCTGTATAATCTCATGTCTATGTAGATTTTCATGCCTGACTATATGGTATTGGCTAATTCATTGGTGTACTCTTCCCTGGGGAAAATTACTTTTTCCACTCTCAGCATTCCTTAGTTGCTTGTAGGTTTGTTGGTAGGGTTGAGGTCTCATGAGCTTTCACCTGCCCACTTAGCATGTATATTGATTGCTGTTGTCTTGTTTAGCTCATGTTTAGGAAGTCATGTTGGTGAACCTTCATTGATGTGGCTTCTGACAAACATAGGAAACACAATCTCATAGAAAACTCCCAATCCTTTGGCTCTTACATTATTTATATCCACTCTTTCATCATAATGATCCCTGGGTCATAGGTGTTGGAGTTGTATATGTGTGTGTTGGGACTGGCCTCCACAACTCTGCATCTTTATTAGTTGCAATTTCCTGTCATAGCCTGCATTTGTTGGAAACAGAACTTTACTTGATGAGGAGTGAGGACTGCATTTATTATTAATATTATTACTAATGCATTATAATATTATTATTAATATTATAATTGTTAATTTGTGTCTTTAGATTCATCAGTTCTTTTCTTTTTGATTTATGAAATCTGATGCCCCAGAGTTTGATGCATATGTGTTTAGGACA